TCAACCATGGCCTGTGACACAGTATCTCATGTTGTACTCTGAAAGCTTTAGTGTTTGTGAAATGTCCCCTGAAAGACTGCCTAGTGTCAATGCTAGCAGAGTGAAATATAAAAGGCAGAAGTCAGTGATGACCCTGACAAAGAAAATTTTATTATTAGAGAAGTTAAAAGAGGGGATGAGTGCTGCCGCAGCTGGTCGGTTGTTTGGTATAGGTATACTACAGTAGAGCATTAAGGTAGTATAAGTTGCTATTCACAGTTTTGCCTATTTACCCCATTCTTTGGAATCTAACCCCCGCAAATAAGAAGGGTTTACTGTATACAAATAAAGTTGTATTTAAAATAGAGTAGAAACATATACAGTACTTACAAATCTTTCATTATTATGTTGTTTTGAGGTGTGTGCCAACTTCTGAAGGCCAGTCATTTTATTTACTAATTTATGTATGATCTAGACAAAGGCAGCATGCCTGTATACTCAAATCTTCATCCACTTGTTGAACAATAACTGGTACTTAATTGGGCTGGCAGATGGTATTAAGCCATAGTCGGAAATCTGACCCTCTCGCAGTTTTTCATATACGAATGTTTTTTTTTTTCCATCTTAGTAAACATTGGGTAGAGTAACCCAGGTCCAAATTGCACCCTTAGAGACACATCAGCCAGCCTACCAGGTTAGTGGGAGGAATTTAGGTGGTTGATAGGGCCGGTCCACTGTTCCCGCATTTCTGCTTACAGGAGGGGTGCTTTCAATGTGAGATATTGTTGGGCAGGAGAGGTTGCACCAGCACAGTAGCACTTAGTAACACAATTTGCATCAAAAGACCAGGAGTGGGTTAATAGATATACTAAAGGATCATGAATACCAGTATTATGCATCTTTATCTGCTCTATGAGTGTCCAGTCATCGCCTGAAGTTTATTATTTAAGAATGGAGTAGCTTTTGTTTACTTTAAAGAATACAGTATTTAAAACCCTGACAATTATTAAAATATTGAGCATGAATTCATTAAAATTTCAAAATTTAGTTAATATATCTTGGGAGTTTCAACATAAAAATATTCAATGGTTTCAAGAGGAATATAAGAGAGATGGAAGGGGGGGGAGGGCAGTGGCATTTTTCAGGAACCAGAAAATTCACACATCTGGAATGCTGTTGGTCCCAGCACTGCCAGATTTCCAAGATTGTAGCATACTATGAAATTAGCTTCATGAATTTCAAATACCTTGTAGTTTACATTTTCCTCTGAAAATTGTATGTGCTTTAAAATATATTCAGGAAACAGTTAAATAGAAATACAATTCACCTTACTGTTGATAAGACATCAGTGACAAATGTGCATAAATTTAGTAAACAAATTCATGATATGAGAATGGTTTCAGACATCTGGGACAGCAAGGAACAATATAAGAAAAAATCGTTGTTAAAAGATGCAAAATACTGATTCAAGTATGAATGAAGGGTTCATCACACATGCACACACACTCGCAACAGATCATTTAGGGCACTAAATATAAATTAAAATTAGGATATTCTGACGTGGAAATGACTATTATTGATGTATAATTGTTGTAAAAAACTGGGCAATCCTTCAATCTTTGGTGAATGTTTTACTTGAGAACTTCAACTTTAGGCAATATGTTACGTGTAATATATGAATTTAACTCAACTTTGTTGGTTTAAGGCAAACAAAATATGATAATACGGTACAGTAGTTCATTTACCCATAGTAACTAATGGTTTGTTAATTTTTGTTGAAGAATAAAATTATTACATACTGTGTAGTATTAATTGGGGATAAATCATGCAACATAAACTGAAAAAGTGATGTGTATGATGTACTGTATCAGGTGTTGTTTTAAGCAGGATTTTTTTTTCACTTTTTATTAATAGGTTCTGCTCGAAGGCATGTAAGCCAGGGCCTATTTAAGCTTTCCTCATTTCCTACACAAATTCAAACTCATGTGTAATTAGAATATTACACACGTAAATAAGTGTTCCTATAATAAAAGCAAAAAACTCATCTGTAAAAAAGTGACAATGCAACCTCATAAACATCATGTTCTTCTGAGGATATTGGGAAAATGCAAGTAACTATTGGACACATTTCCTTGATTTCTTTTAAGGTTGATGAATTAAAAAAAAAAAAAAAGATTTCAGCACCTGATTCATCCTTGGAAGAGGAGCAATATTGTACAGGTACAGTAATTAACTTTTCATCTCTGACTTCATGTTCACAGTACTGTACACTATTAGTTACAGTGGGTAAGTAAACTGCTACAGTATTCACTAACTGCATTAATAATTTTGGAATGTTAGAAAATATTCACTAAATATTAAATTACATGTATGTACAAACTACACAGTCATAAGGAAATTTAAATTATGATAAACTAACTGAATAGGACGTACACCCACTAAAAAATTTTCAGCACCCGTGTCATATTGTATCACGCCATAAGGGTGCCGAATAATTTTTAGCGGGTGTACATGACACACGCACACACACAGACACTAAAAATTATTCGGCACTCTTACGGTGTGATACAATATGACACAGGAGCCAAAATTTTCTTTTTGTGGGTGTACATGATACTTGTGCACACACACACACACACATGTATACATGCACAATACATACATGAACACCCACTAAAAAATTATTCGGCACCCTTACGGCCTAATACAATATGACACGGGTGCCGAAAATTTTTTAGTGGGTGTACATCAAATCAGGAACAATAAATCAAGCATGGGAGGTAACCCATGCACCCTTCAATCCATCTACTAATACAAAAGTCTATCTTCCTTAGTGACTGACAAATTAGTAATCACCAGATGAATTCCTGATCATTAATTGTGTAGGGTGGACATTTAGAACTGATATAATTTCCAAAAGTACAAAAATCACACAGATAAATGCCAATACAAAATCTTAGCAATGCAAACTTGTGATCAATTATGCTAGTACAGTATTGACTTCATTGGGATTCTTTCAGAGAGATTGCCTGTGATGATGAAAGACTTTTATCCCTTCCCTTAACTTGTGATAATCAACTACAGTATGCTAAAATGTTGACTACCTTGGGAATCCTGTACAGAAGATATCTGAGAAAACAAGACTTACATCTCTCTTTACACATGAATATTGGGATTTGTTCTACTTACATTACATCCCAGAGTGTTTTACATAAGCTGCTAAAAAATAGAATAAATTATTCTGATAGTTCTGCCAAACTTTATCCTCTTCACCACTTGTTGGCTTGTTAGCCGCTTGCAGTGGTTCTCAACCTGGGGGCCATGACAAGAATTTAAAGGAGCCACGGCGAGCAGTTGTAAATTGTACGTTTCCAAATAATGTTGGGAATCTGATTTAAACAAAACTTGTATTACTTATTTTGACTTGGCAGAAGAGAATTTTCAATCTTTTTTTGTCATTTTCTTTAATCATAACGACAATACAATTTTAACATTTACAACTCTGGTGCTAATTTATTTTTATTTTTTACGGATTATTTAAGATTTCACAGGTCCAGTCCCTGTCTGTGTGACAGGCGCAGGACCGAGCTGCTGAACTGACTAGTTCAGTATGTGTCCGTGTGTTATCCCTTTGCAAGTGGTGATAGGACCGAATGGGGTTGGGAGAAAAATGAAGGAGGCCACGAGGATGTTGAAAATTCCTCAAGGGGGGAATAGAGTGAAAAAGGTTGAGAACCACTGCGCGGCTAGGGCATTCACATAATTTTATGAGGGGTTCACTGAGAAATATATTCATTTACTGTAAGCAATGCAGTCTTTCCCTGTGTTAAAGTTACCTTCTCATTTTACTTTAGACTTACAAAGGCAACAACAATAAGATAATACATTATCCGTATGCAATTTTATGGATGCCAATAAATCCTATTGGGAAAACTATATTTGTCTGTAATATTTTCTCAAAAGTGGCATTGTCAATACATAATAGTCAAATACAATGGGTAGCTTTCACAAATTTCTTCAAAACGTGTATAACATTTTCTTCAACAGGCAAGATCAACTAAGATCATAATCCATAATTACCATAAAACCAAAAGGTGCCAAAGTTATTCCCACCACATGTACTCTTTACCTCAACTTACAAATAATGCAATACTGTATGCAGTATATAGTATATTATGGATCCAAGTACTGTACATACCTAGGTTGGTCTCTAGGACTATAAAAAATGGAGGATTCATCCTCAAATCCCATTTTATGGGTACTATACAGTATATGCAATACAAAGCCATTCCTTGAGAATCCATGAGACTAAGGCATTAATGGCTGGGTCTAATCTTCACGATTTAGACAATCTCCTCAACCTAGAAAACATCTCCTACCTCAAAATAACCTTAAGAAAATGGCAAATTCACACCCTCAAAGAACTTACACAGCAAAGAAATATCATGACTGAGTTGCTCATCTTGTTCCAAACATGTCTACTCCATGTGGCAGAACACAGTTCTCTGTAACATAATATTTTCTAAAATCCCAACAAAAGGTTTCTGGGATCAGAGACCTACTGGATAACTAATGTATAAATATCTCTCTACTTGACTGGGATAAAATATGGATTTCTAATTACTCCTCTTAAAGGTTGTTGTTACTTTTGGGGAGATTAACTGGTGTTAGAAGTTGTCCCAACCACTGCAGTACTGTTAATGTCTCCTGGGTCATGACAAATGGATTCATGTAGAAATATACTGCACTTGAGCCACCTAGCAAAGCATGGCTGTATATAAGTGTAACATAACTGCTTGAATATGCAACACTTAAATCATGGGCATCCCATGATATTACAGGAGAAGTTTCAAGAGCAAAATACATTAGATGCTATCGTATGTATGGTGTAATATGCACACAAACAGTATTTCTTTTTATCAGTACAGCATACTGTATTAGAACTCCAAAAGTACATCTACTACTGTAATAGCTACTCTGATACATATGTATCAGGGGTAAAAATAGAAAAGAAAGCAAAATAATGGGTCAACACATTCATTATTTATCACTGTTTGTTTGACATCCCTGAAGATATCAGTTTTGGGGGAACAATAGATAATTCCATCTATCACTCCTGTTTGGTAATGTTGGTTCACCTATTGCTTGAAACTGGCCTCCAGTAAGTATAATCTCAAGATAATTCTGTCTACATACTTAATTTATATAATACTTGTAGACAATTAGGGAGCAGACTGGTTAAAGTTCCATGCTGCAGCCTTAAAAAATGATGCAAATTACAGCATGAATTTTCCCACTCACTTAAAATTAAACATACAACAACTTTATATCTAACAGGAAGCAAATATCCCAAGCGTTATAAATCATTACTTATGTACAGCTGATTAAGAGCTGCAGCAAGAAGATTTCTGTGTAGGAGTGGTTACCTGATCATCCACAAGTTGTAAGTTGCGTGTATTACCTCCCCGAGTGAGGGTGTTGATACGTTGTTGATCATTAGTTACAGCATTTTCTAACATCCTGCGAGTCAGTTCTAGAAACAATTCTTCAACTCCTTTATTCTGTTTAGCTGAAGTTTGGAAATGTAAGGCCCCAACCTCTTGAGCATACCTGTTAACAAACGAAGATTTTTTTTTCATATCTATGCTGATAAATTACTGGTACAGTACAGTACAGGTATCCCTCAATATACAAATGGGTTAGGTTATGAAAAAAAAAAAAAAAAAAATAAGTTGAATTTTTGTATCTCGAATAGGAAAACGTATGGGAAAAATAGGGAAATAATCACAGAATACTTACGCGTCTGCTTCTTCCTGTGAGACATGTCTTTCTTTCTCCATATCAATTTTGTTTCCAGCAATAACAAGGCATATATCATTTCCCAACATTCTTCTTAGCTCACGAACCCAATTCTTTACCTTTGAAGAGACAGGAAAAAATACATTTGCTTAGAGATGGAAGTATATGTGAAGAAGATATCTAAATGAAAGAATCCTCATATTTAAGTACTTTATGTACAATAATTCCTTGATTTACAAAAGAGTTTCATTCCTGAAAGGCCTTCTGTAAATTGATTTTTTGGAAGTTGGATCACATTTTCCCACAGACTTTCATTACAAAAACAAAGATTTTCAGAAAAAAAAGTCAAAACACATGATTTTTAATAAATATTTTTTGTGTCCAGTACAATACATAATAATTGTAAGCCAATAATAAACATAAGTGAAATACATGCTGTACTTCATTACAATACTGTAGTTTTATACAGTACTGTACACTAAACAGTATGAAATGCTGAGCCAACATCTATAGGTATAATAAATGATGACACATTGAAAGCTTATTTGTACTGTATATTTAACAACTTTACAAGTGATAGAGAATAACGTAGCAAGCTAATGTTATAAGCAAGTATATTGGTGGCATAATTTTAGCATATTATCTTTATTAGGAGGAAATTACGAAAAAATAATAATTATTTTTTGTCCATGAATCAAATCATAGGTCAAATTAGATTTTTCGTATCTTTGGATTTTCATAAACTAGGGACTGTCGGTTACGTTTTGATGAAAATTAAAAACTAAGCTAGTTATGGCATCTTTTGGTTCAGGAGTATGGAATCTGGAATATAAACCGAGACTTAGGGAGGCGAAAAAGGATAATCCAACTGATTCTAACTTTATCACATGCAGTACAGGTGAGAAACTTTATCTTAAGATTTAGTTATGACAAAGATTCAACTTTTTAATGTTTACTCTTGACAGAAGAAATGAAACTTACCTTTTGAAATGAATCTTCATCAGTGATGTCATATACAAGAATAGCTCCATGTGACTCCCGGTAATATATAGGTCCTAGTGCATGAAACCGCTCTTGTCCTGCTGTGTCCCATATTGCTAGGTTAACTCGTTTACCACTCAGATTAATTCGTTTTGTTAAGAAGGAAGCCTGAAACAAAATGTAACTCAGGTGAATATTTGTAATATTGTCATGATTTTTTTTTCTTTTTTAAGGGGAATAGCCCACCCGGGCACAGGTCATCGACCCACAACGGGGCCTGGGGGGTGAAAAAAATTATTAAAAAGAAATTAAAAATAGAAGAGAAAAAGACTATACAGTAAACCCTTGTTCTTCACGGGGATTAGGTTCCAAGGAATGGCGTGAATAGGCAAAACCGCGAATAGCAACTTATACTACCTTAAGTGCACCACTGTACTGTATACCTTTACCAAACAACCGACCAGCCACGGCAGCACTCATCCCCTCTTTTAACTTATCTTATAATAAAACTTACTTTGTCAGGGTCATAACTGACTTCTGCCTTTTACATTTGACTCCACTAGCATCACTAGCACTGACACTAGGCAGTCTTTTAGGGGCCATTTTACACAGAAACACTTTAGTTTTGAGAGTGCAATACGAAATGCTGCGTGGGGTGACTCGTTGTGCTGCAGGAAAAAGCTTGCAAGCTAGCCACCATCTACTTACCGCAAATTGTCAGAATCGCGAATCGCAAACCGGCAAATGGCAAGAGTCTACTGTAACAATCTACACCACGAAAATGCCAGACAACAAGCTTTTTGAAGTGAGACAGATTGTAAAAGTATGCAACTGAGGCCTAGGATCAGTTTGTTGCAAGGCAGCTTATTGGCTGGCAGATGGACATGAAAAAAGTCACTACATTTCTTTACTTATTAATCTATCATATTTATATTTTAATATTCTAGGGGATAATAAAAATTCTGTGTTGATCTCTGACAATTTCCACACGTGAGGAAGCAAAAGCATGTGGAACACTCTGGTAACATAAATATACTGCAGAGAGCAAAATAAGAAATACTAAATTTTTCCAGCGACATCCTCCACTGTACTGCGTGTCATGGCAGGCGGGGTGTGGAAATTATCAGAGATCAACATAGAATATCTATAGTATCCCTTAAAATATCAGAATAAAAATATGATACGCATTAAATAGTAAAGAACTGTAGTGACCTTTCCCCATGTCCATCTCCCATCCAATCAGCTGCCTTGCTACAAACCTCCCCAAGGCCTCAGTTGCAAGCTTCAAGTGAATAGACAGTATTTATACAGTATCTCAATTAATAATATACCCTGTAGTATAAAGTTTATATTGGTTGTTATCTTCTCCTTTTCAAAAGAAAATCTAAAATGAATAAAAATGATTAATTCATAGTACACGTTGCCTTCATTTATGCTGGTAGACGTATTATTTTAGTTTTGGTCATCCAAGGAATCTTAGGTCCCCCCCCCGGTCAGGTTTTATATATGTTAAGTTAGGGTGGTTAGGTTAGGTTGGTTAGGTTAGATTAGTTTGGATATCTAAATACAGGGATCACCAAAACTATAATTTTATCCTGGAAGACACCTCTGCCCCAAAACTGTATCAATTAATAATCTTCCATGGCTATTCAAGATAGCGATGGTGGTAATGTTACTTTTTTCAAGATAAGCTTTAGGAAAGAGTTGGTTGTAAATAGGTGCTGCCTCATTATGGACCAGTAGGCCTTCAGTAGTTTCCTTATGATTCTGTAAGGTCTGTAACCTATTGGTATGAAACTTATAGGGTACAAAACAACTTAGTATGATATGGTTGAGGTCCCATTAATAGATTACTGTAACAGGTTTTTTTCAGGGATTAGCCCACCTGGGCACAGGTCACTGACCCACATCAGGGCCTGGGGGGTAATAATAATAATAATAATAATAATAATAATAATAATAATAATAATAATAATAATAATAATAATAATAATAAAGGACCATAAAGAAATACAAAAAGGAAAAAAAGATCAAAAGTGAGAAACAATATACTGTATGTATGTTGTGTTGTCAATTGTAAGTGAAACAATTGAGACCCTGCAACGGTGTGTAAATGAGGCAGAAAGTCAGATCAGCAACCTGAGACTTGGTCACAATTTTTGTGATGTCATATGGCAGCAGGGTCTACCATAGACAACACATTATGCTTCCAATATCTTCCCAGGCGGTAGTACCTCCCTGTTTGGTACCCAAGATAAATCATACTCAAAAAAGTTAACACGTACCCACGCCAACTCATATCCAACTCACGAGATAACTCGAACCAAGATTACTTGCACCAAATTCAAGATATAATCCACACCTATTAGTATATATACCATGAATAGGTAGCTGCTGTCACAGCGTTATTATAGCTTATTACGAACTATTTAGGGCACCCGAATGAAATAAAAACAGAAATGAATTAAACACTTTGGAGGAGTTATATAAAATTTAAGCTTAATCTATGACTACATAAGATTATGTAAATCTTGTAGGAAAGTACAGGGAATAGTGAAATGTAATGCAGCGTTTTAAAATGGTTTCATCTCATTACCTAAGAATCTTATTCCGTCACACAAACATTGCATTACAAGTGAATATTTCACACTGTGTAGTTTAGAAAACTTTATTGCAATTTACAGATTTCAGGCTAATAGATTTGGCAGTTTCAATGTATAAACTGGGTGATGTAAATGTTTCATATTGTCATGTCAACAAAATCTAGACATAGAGGAGTCTAGACATACATAAAAACAGATTTATTTTCCAGCTCCAGCTTTTTTTAAACAAATTGGTTAGTATTAAAACCAGTCTGGTGATTGTGATGCTCGTGTGAATTATACAATCTGAGATTGATGGATTTTCAATGTTGGCCTTAAATCATTGCTCATTTTTGATTAGTGATTGTCAATTAAAAATTATATTTTGATTTATTGCAACTCATATTCAACAAATGGTAGCAAGAGCTTTACAGGAATTAGTGAATAGTCACAAGACACAGATTGTTTGGGGATTTGGCGATTTCTGCTATGAGCTTTCATAGTTTTGTATTACCCATTGTAAAGTTCCCCTGTGTAGTTTTCTGCTGCACATTCGCATCTAAAGATATTAAATAATGTTTTTAGAATAGCAATTTCTTTGAGGTGGTGAGTTGTTGTGTGATCTCTTTCATTGTCATGCTTTCAGCTTTATGCCCATGCTTTATATATATATATATATATATATATATATATATATATATATATATATATATATATATATATATATATATATATATATATATATATATATATATATATATATATATATATATATATATATATATATATATATATATATATATATATATATATATATATATATATATGGGTACGAACTGTCTCGTAAATTGGATACAAGTTATCTTGTAATTGGGTACGACTTGACATGATCTGATGGGTACGATTTGCTTGAGTACGAGTTATTCAGCACCGTGCTACTACACTAACAGTTTAACAGGTGTTGTGGCTTATGGTTATACTTCAGTGCCATCTAAATGAATTTTAAGTTAATGGATCAACTCTGAGAACAGCAAAGAGCAACTGTGAATTTACATGGGAAATGGCCAATAAGCCAAGGCCTCAACACTCTCAGCAATTTAAAAAAATACATAAATGAAAACATCGACTTTAAGCAAAAATGACTCAGGTATTCTGCCAAATTAAACATTTCAGTGAAGGTGTTTAAGTCTCTATCAGCACACATGGTGCTTCCTCAGTTATTCTAACCCTTTAGAGTGTAGGGGGATTTCTCTCAGCTGCATAAAATCGTCTGGCATTAGCCAGCCTAACCTAACAACCTAACATAAGCTAAACTTAAAATCCTAAAATCCGCTGGTTGATCGAAACCATAATAATACCTACCAAAGTGTGGAGCTGCCCTCTAAAGGATGTTCCTACTTTAGCTGGTCTATTATGTTGCACCCACACATTCTATACCATAAAAACCGCAAAAAAATTAGTGCAGTTCACTCTTAATATAAATCGGTTCTTACTTTCAGTACAAGACACGACAATTACGTATCAAACACATATTGAACATGCACCTGTAATGTGGTAATATGTCGATCATTAAATTTGTCCTCGACGTATCTAAGGACTAGACTGGTCTTGCCGACACAACCTTCACCCAACAGAACAATTTTGAAGTTGTAGCTCCGTGCCCCTCCTGCTGCTGCAGTAGACATGGCCCACAAAATGAATTAAAGAGTTTCAAAGATTAAGATATAAAGAATTATAAGAATTTAAGGCTATTCCAGATGATAACTAGGGTTCCTCCTTCCTGCTATCACTGTAAACACCAGAGGTCCCATGATATCACTGGAACCAAATGAAAGTCTCACACTCCTGCCAATGTTCTAAAAATGAATACTTTTTCTTGGTTGCCAATAATACTATATATATATATATGTTAAAAAAACACGGTATCAGATTTTATTTTACTCTATTCCTACTTTAATTGTGCTCTTTTTAAAACAAATTTACTAAATGTCAAAACTTAACTCATTATTGTATGCACAAATTTCATCAGGTATTGTTCATTATTTAACTTCCCAACCTTTATGTTTGGTGCATTAAGCGTAATTATACTGTAGGTACAAAGCAGTATGTAGGCCCTTGACAAAGTAACAAAGCAGCTAAACTCTTAAGAACTTTCATCTTCTTTTTTGTATTCATATATTTGGCAACATTGTACAAATGACGAAATCGCAAGGATATGGTATTACACAAACATATATGAAAAGAATAAAAAAGACAAGATATTAGTCATATATATATATATCAAAGTAATATTTAAATCTATCAAAATTTAGGAAGTGTTACATTTTTTTTATAGAGATGTGTTTAGTTGAGTTTTAACCTTAGACTCTCGTGTGCTGGGCTGGTGCGCACACCTCCTGCGCATCGATCCAAGAATCACCGCTGACAGGAAAAGTGTGGTGAGTGAAACCCATATCTTTTGTATGAAATTATCGTAAACTAATATATTTTATGCTGTATTTAGTAAGAATTATTTGTCACATGTACAGTACTATAATATGGGCTGATTGTCAGGAGTTGTAATCAAGATATTATTGTGTTTATTGTAAGTTTTGTAATCCTTATGTGCCACGCTCCTGTAGCTGTGCCTCTAGTAATAATTTTAAAAACATCCTGTCAAGTTCTTATATAAGAAGAAACATTGTTTAACAACACTAAAATACTAAGTAGCATATGTTGTTGATATTTCCTCATTTTAAATCAGTTGAAATCATCGTAGCCATTAACTGTAACATAATATTTAGGACAAAGAATTTACACTTCCTGCGAGATTGAAGGAAGGATTGTGTGGATGACCTCGCTCGTCTTGACCTTAAGTCTTGTTTTATAAAAGCTCTCTTTATACACATCAAATTTATACTTGCCTGCATAACATTCACTTACAGAACACTACTTTATCTGATGATGATGTGTGAATGTGAAAAAGTTGTGCTACTCGGACTTAAGAAAACATATTTCATGCAAGAGGCAATGATTATCTTAGATTTCACATTAGCACAACATTTCTTTAGCCATTATTGTCCATTTGTGTCGTCAATAAAAAGTGAATCGATGAAGAGTTTGTGTTACAGAATGGATATAGAATCCTTGGAAAGAATTCAGAGGAGAATGACAAGACTAATCCCGGGCATTAGGAACCTTGAGTATAGAGACAGGTTAAATCATCTTAATTTGCACTCCCTCGAGAGACGTAGAGTGAGGGGCGACCTGATAGAGGTGTATAAGTGGAAGGCAGGGCTAAACAAAGGGGACATTACAAAGGTACTCAAACTATCCAACCAGGAGCGAACTCGTAACAATGATTTTAAATTAGATAAATTTAGATTTAGGCGTGAAATCTGGAAACACTGGTTTGGAAACAGAGTAGTGGATGAATGGAACAAGTTACCAAATATCATCATTAACTCGAATACGCTGAATAGCTTCAAACGTAGGTTGGATGCTTATATGAGCAATAGGGGTTGGGTGTAAACGGGACTGCCCAGTATGGGCCAATAGGCCCGCTGCATTTTCCTCCATTCTTATGTTCTTATGTTAAGAAGGATGTAGATGGGGCTTGAGTAGGAATTCAAAATTAGGTGACCTTTATGAAAAACTGTTAAATATTAATATTTAATTGTTCAGTATTTGAATATTTTTCACCATTGTAGAGGTTAAGAGAGGGTTGATATTTTCATTTTAGGTATTTTTCCTTAGGAATGTAACTTATAGGATTATTGTTTTATATCATTACCACCACTTATCAGGTTACTAACCATTTGGGCAGTCTTTACTTTTACCCTCTTCACCGCTGATCGGCTCGTTAGCCGCTTGGGCGATCGGTCACGTCTCTGTAATGCACTGTTGGCAAGTACTAGGCATGTACTGGCTCTCTCTTATGCACTGTTGGCAGGTACTGGGCATGCACCGGCTCCTGAATGTACCTGAACCTGCTCCAGTGTTGGTCAAGTCTTGTCTTGAAAGAACTCACACTCGGTGCCGTCACAACACTTTCTGGCAGATTGTTCCAAGAGTTCACAACCCTCACTCTGAATAAGTTTGCCCTCATAGTTTTCTGGACTTGCAGCTTTTTCAATCTTGAGCTGTGACCCCTTGTGGGGTGAGCGTCCGCCAGCTCCAAGTAAGGACACTCGACTGAGCAGTGCCCCTTGAGATGCTTATATACACCTCAATTAGGTCACCTCTTGCCCGTCTGTAGTATAAGCTAGGCGAGTTCACATAGGATTCTTTCTATTTCTGCAGGTAGGTCTAGTTTTAGTATTTTATATGCTAGGCTGTTGTGCCACATTATCAAATGCCTTTGCTATATCTCTTAAGACTCTGTTTACTTGGTTTCCTTGCTGTTTTTCTTTGGCTATGATTTATGTTATTATTGCTATTGCCGTTTAGGTTCCTCTACTTCTTCTAAATCCGTGTTGTCTTAGGTTGAGTTTGTTGTGGTTAACCGGGAACTTATCTAGTCTGTTATTTAGTATGCGTTCCAAGAGTTTCCCGGTTATTTCCAGTAAGGATTTAGGTCTATCGTTTATTATCTGTTTTGGGTCCTTGCCTTCTTTGGGATTGAAGATCATTTTTGCCCGCTTGAGGGCATCGGGAAAGTAACCAGCGGATAAGGTTAAGATGTTCTTTGCTATTGCCATCATTGTCCAGTGGTAACCAGAATAAATGAAGGAAAACTGCTATTTTTGGTGGTACAATGGCAACCCGTATATATGTCTCCAATATATATACCGTATGTCATGGGTTAACGTCCTGCATGGCCCAGTGTCACGATCTGTCTGCTACCCAAGGCTGAAATATCCTTTTGACCACTGAACTTGCTTCAGATTCGATATAAACATCTGCCCATTTTAGTTGCTCCTCATTTGTACACTTTCATAAAAAAAGGACAACAAGAAACTAATACAGTTTTGTATACAACATAGTATTTGGATAAAAGTTATTTCTGGTAAAGAAATATTAACTTAGTGTGATAGACTTGAAATCAGCATTGCATCAGGTACTGGCAATTGTTATATGTGATCATTATCCTACTGTGTTAATGGACATGATGGAGTCAACAGGCTCAGCTGTCAGTCTGTCAAATGACCAAAACATGCAAACAGACCAAGATACGCAAGACCAAACTAAATTAAACAATACTATGGGGGGATCATGTAAACCAGCAACAAAATGGAGTGAATAGACTAGTCTAGTTTCTCTTCCTCCTGGTACAGTATATGCTCTCCTCTTAATCAGGTCATAGTTATACAGTAGTGTATACTGAAATAAAGCTGGATATTCATTTTCAAAGCTCATCATTTCCAAACATTAATTTTTATGTACCTACAAATCAGAATTTATTGTATACATACAGTAGTAGATTTTATCAAAATATTTTTTTTTCTTTTTTTTTTGGGGGGGGGGGGGGTTATAGACTGAAGGAAGCACTCTCAATGTGACATACTGCAGTCTAGATTGTCCCTCGTTGTCTGTGCATATGCAGAAGAGTAGTGAGGACGTTTTGGACTGGGGGATAAAATAGACCATGACATCACACACACACATGTGGGAAGGGTGTTATCCAGTGTAACCCTTCTAAACATCACAGGTGTCCTCTGATTTGGTGAATAATAAATCCAAAATAAAACCCCCTTTCTCATATCTGACCCAGGGATTGAACCTTTCATGCATTAGTGAGAGGCAAGTTCACTACTGCTGTCCCACCAAAAACTTTGAAATTATACTTAAAAAGAAAAAATACAGCAACAGGCTAGGCTATGGTCTCTGTTCTGGTGACTATACAGAAATAATCTCTTGTGTATGGTTTATTTCATCAGGAAACTGTGTTATTCTTAATAAAAGGAAATGTAGGTAAGTGATGGTGTGGGGTTATGAGATATTGGTTCACACTCAGGATGGGATGGAGAAAGGAAACTCACAATGTGCTCTCTATATACAGATTGTATTGGATGTACAATGCAGCTTGTTGCTGGGTAGGCAGCATGGTTACAAGCTTTGAGTAGAGAGAGCTGGTTGGTGAGGGTGCCCAGAGGAGGGCACGCAGCTTGAGGGACGCCAAGGTCGCCGGCAGGAGCGGGAGCCGCCAGGCTGGAGCAGAGGTGGTGTTGCTTGCTGGTGGCCGTGGGTAGAAAGAGGGTGGTCACAGCGGTGTGGGGTCTTATAAGGCGGGGGTAGGCGTGGGTTGAAAGTTGACCCCCGCTCCGTCAGGCGGCGCTGGAGACGTAGGCTGGGGAATTCGAGAAGGTTCGGCTACTCAGCGACATACGGCGCTTGTAGGGGAGGAATCCACTACAATGGGTTCTGTCAATTAATTGACAATGTGGAGATCATGGCTAATTGTTGTATCCTTCTGGAATTCAAAGAGTAAAACTTGGAGGTGAGGTTGAGGGATAACCCACTGTTCTGTTTACTTACAGTATTAGTCTAGATAACTGACTTGTGGGTAGGATCGACTTTAGGAAAAAATTATATAAAAAGAAAACTTGTTACAGGGTACTTATATTTAGAATGTCAAAAAAGGATGGATGAATTAAATTTGGTTTACTCATGTGGATGCTATGTTTATGGTTTAAACTGTTGGCACTCTTGCCTGATGCTAGGCGATGGAGTGCTTCCCAGTGATCTTTCTATGTGAACTGTTAACACAGTAACACTAACATACCTAACCTAAAATAATGCACCTCCATTCTAGGATAGGTTTGTTAGGTTGGGTAAGATTTGGTTGGTTGCTTTATTTTATTTGCGATAAATCATCGGTCGGTGGCAAACATTCATGGGTATGATGTGATGATATTCTGGTATGAAATGCTCCTGGGGACAAAATTGCCAAACTAATAAGAAAATTGCTTTAAACAGACTGGACAATGAATGTCATAACAAAGAACAGACCTATCATCTGGTTGACTAGTAAGCTGTTTAGTGGTAAAAATTATAAATAAAAAGTGCTTTTCCCTGCTCTGTCTTTGGCTTGTGTTCTAAGCAGTAAAATAAATATTTAACTGAATTTCTATAGAAAAATGTCCATAAATAAGAACAAATTCATGAAAAAGGCTTAATCTAACTTCACTTGAGGTTACTATACCCTTTCCACACTAACCTGGCACGTAGGCCCCACCCCTCTTCTCTACTAATAGCTGATTGGTTCATAGAAAATTCAAACTAAATGTGTTCACAACTGGGTCTTCTGAGAGGATGTTAGAAAATTTTAAATATTTATTATAAAAGGTTGGTATAAATACACTCTTATATACACGCAGTCCGGGGGGAGGTAAAATGCTCGGGGAACCAATCAGCTATTTGTAGCTATAGACGAGGGGCGGGGCTTACAGGCTAGCTTAGCGTTGAAATACTATAGGTCATGCTTACAAGGTATGGTTTATCAGGTGTCATAGCTTCCAATTAAAGCTAGGATAGAGTTCAAACTCTGCCTAATGACTTTTAAGGCACATATTCTAAGTATTTGGCCAACCTACTAAGTCCTCGGATCACAAGTTCCGAAATGATTTAGTGTCGTAATAATGATCGCTCACGCCCTAGGAGCCTAGAGCAGTAAGGTAATGTTATATTGCTGCCCGATCCTTTTCCTGTAGCTACAGCACCCAGATTGTACAATTGGTTGCCTGCACACATGAAGCAGCTGACTTCTGTTAAGAAACAAATTAAGATTTTTTTTTTTAAGCTTATGGTGGAGCGAACCATCCAACCAGGAGCGAACTCGTAACAATCGTTTTAAATTAGACAAATTTAGATTTAGGCGCTAAATACGTAAACTTTGGTTTGGAAATAGAGTATTGGATGAATGGAACAAGTTACCAAACCTCATTATTGACTCGAATACGATGGATAGCTTCATACAAGGTTGGATGGATATATGAGCAATAGGGGTTGGGTGTAAATGGGACTGCCCAGTATGGGCTAATAGGCCCGCTGCAGTTTCCTCTATTCTTATGATCTTATGGATAATTACTGGGTTCAGGAAGTGTTACAACTTAAGGATATACAGACTCACTTTTTGTGATTTTTTCTTTTTTATTCTCAGATTCTTGACCAGTACAGTATTTTGAGCACTAGTGAATTCTTTAGGAGACCTAGCACTTTTGAGAAACAAAAGACCATCTGTTATTATTATTATTATAATACCATAGTCTCATTGACTAAATATTAGTTTGGTTTCCTTGTTTCTTCAGGGGTTTGCATTAATTAATATTTAGTATCTGTTAAGATCCTGTTAAATATTAATACTGTATGTATATATATAAAGTGGAGACCCTCTCCTTATCCTCTACTTTAGGCTTTTAAAGAATTGTACACCCACAGCTTTTTCTTTTAAATGTTGCTATTTTAGAATGCTGTAGAATGTAAACCTTGCTGGGTAACACCAAGTAGGCCTCTGCATACTCATGCACCATATGTATTGGTGAATAAATAAAAAATCATCACAGAACTCTCTGATTTTGCCAAGAACAAAGATAAGTTCAGTAATTCTTTGTGATCAATTCCTGATAAAACCAGATAGCTACTGCATAGTTCAGTGATTATTTTTCATTTACAGGAGCATCTAGGGCATGCAATTGCAGTGGCCTACTTGCTTTTTGCTAGAACATCTGCTGCCCTGATGCTATCCCTTTCATATCCTGTATATATTAACATTATGTAGGATACATTAAACAATAGGGGCTCATCATTTAAACATTCCACAAATCATTTCATTGAGATGATTGTTTTAATATTGTTTTACTTTCATTCCATAGTATGTTTTATTATTCCAAATTTCCTTTGTCAAATTTTAATAAACAGGGCTGCCACACTGCACAAAATCTGACGAGCCCCCGTAAACACACTAGTAAAGGGGACTGTACACCATACTTGCTCAAACAAACACAGTATTGTTGAAGAAAAAATGTGGAAATAGCTCTAACCAAGAGTACAATGAGGAATGGGAATGTTCAAATTTTAAAATACCATTTGCATATACAGTGGAATTTTCATAGTTGGCAGTTTGCATTCCTCTAAACTGGCATAATTTCAAAATACTGTACAGTACAATATTCCCACAAATTATACTTTCAGGCAGAGCAACAGGTAGTAGAACTGTATTCAGTGTTGCTGCTCTGTACATACAGTACAGTTTCCTTGCTCCTGCATGACCATTGTCTGGTCCTTGAGCTTGTAATTATGCTTTTACTGTCATCTTGTCGACAAGTTTCATCTACTCCTCCCTCTTGATTGCTTCCAGTAAAAGATCAAGGATGGTGTAGTACTGCTATGGATAGAGGTGACTGGTTGTGTGTACCCAAGGAGAAGATATCCATGAATGAAAGAATAATGCTTGCTCATTGGTTTCTTTGCTGTCTTGACCATAGTAGCCCAACTATCTGAGGCAAATGCCCTTGCAGAACTGTTAATGATACATCAGAGAACTGTAAATGGGCAGACAGCCAATCTAAGCCAGTATTTAAGCATTCTTTCCGATTTTCATAAAGTTATAATTTTACTGAGCACTCGTCTGCTTCCTCACCAGTTCCTACAGTGAATGGAATGAATATTTCCCCTGCTTATTGCTAGAACATCTGCTGGCCTGGACGCTATCACACTCATATATTGTAACATTATGTAGGGTGCATTAAACAACATTGGTAAACTTGGGCAGTTTGTGCTTCATTACTCTAAAAGATGAATAAATCTGAAACCCTGAAATTACTTGGTTCCAACTGTGTCAGAATATTGAAACTCCACTGTGTCACTAAATCCATTACAGTTTGAAGATCCCATATTCAGCATTCTAATATATGGCAAATCCCAAAAAGTAGCGCAGATTTTGGTATTCCTTCATTCGGCAAACCTCCTAAAGCACGGTGCGGTTGGATGGAATCATGAATGAAAATTCTACTAATGTACCCTGCAAACTTCCAATTAAGTGGCAGCATCTTGTAGTTTCGCCAGTTTGTTGTTAATGTTTGGTGGCATGCCGATTGCTTCCGTCATTCAGTTCATTTGTTTGAATTCATGGCTGAGGGTGGTGGTGTCCTTATTTAAGAATTACAGTTTCCTTCTACCCTTCTTGAACTTCACCATGGCTTCCAAACATCAAAAAACATCTGGTGGAGATGAGAGTAAGAGGAAGCAGTCTGTAATACTGTAAATACAATGTGTTTATATACAGGCATACAGTCTATCGATAACCTATTACAAATCCATAAAAATGTGACCTTCTAAATAGAGATAATTTCCTTTATCTGGCTTGGAGCTCGTCCCGTGGTTGCTCGATATGGGAGCTTCAATACTGTACTGTCTTACTTTTAATTAGGTTCAAAGTGGTTAGATATATAAACTCACACACTGACATCCCTCGTCTTATGAAAATCCAGTTATGAATTTTGGAAATTTAGGAATACTGTACATTCCAATTTACAGGTATAAGCAAAACTTCAGAGTTAAAATAAATTACTCTGACATTGTATCTGTACATAATTTCTTTTCATGGTAACTTCCAGTACAGTATTTCACTAAACACAAACAGTCTATATAGGCCATATAAACACAATTAATAAAATATTAACTACAGTACAATACAGTATTATAAGCTAGAATAACTTACTATATTAGAAATGTTATGTACAGTACAGTAGTCATCTTGGCCACAGGATTGGTTCAATGAACCAGTATCCAGATGCTGACCCAGGGATCTTAGCTGTGGGAGGACCATCCATTCTCCTGCACTGTTATATGATGTCAGAGGACAAAACAAGATAGATAAATACAGGGTATACATAATTAAGAATAGTTTTCTTATACTGTGCAGTATTTGTTAAGAATAGAATACTGTACATATTTGTTTACCGCTAAGTGAATATGCGTATTGCGAGGGGTACAGTACCTGTACTAAGATAGTTCGCAGGTTAAGCCACCTATTCCTGTATGAATTCCTTTTAATTTTCAATAAATAAGCTTGTGTCCATATTATTATCAGTTTATAATATAAAACTTGTTTCCCCACTAAATTTATGCTTAAAAATGTCTTGGAAGTCATTATAAGTAAGTTTTGGGTAGATTTTTTGTAGGAATATACATTATCTTCATTTACTAAATGACAAAATTGCATTTTTCAAGAACAGAACCTTTTTGTACATTGAGGAATGCTACTGTATACTGTAATGTACTCGATACAGTAAATAAGTTTTTCATGTGCATTCCACAAATGAAACCTGGTGCTTCTTTTACTTTATAATATTTACGTGGGCTTTTCTCATGAGGAATCCTCATGGTGGGTGTTGGTTGCATTCTAGGTGGTACAAATTGTGGAGTGTGTTTGGAACTTGCTCCAGGTCTGCAAACGTAGGAAAAAAGGTAATGTTGCTGTATTCGAACAGCTGATCACAATTACTGTTAGTAATTTTTTATTCATATTTTTTCTTACTTTATCCTTGTTGGTGAGAAATTTGCTGTTTTTTTGCCTGTACTGTATCCCCAGTAGCTATGTGCAGTGATTTTTGAGCAGGTAAGAGTGTGTGCATCAGTGTCAGACTAGGACAGGGAAGGTGGGCACTGGGCCAGACATAGTTGTGCGAGTCCGGTGAAAGTGTTCCTCTCAAGGAGGTAAGCAGGTTCTGGATATATTTACACTCGTTATTGACATCCTTTTAAGATATGGTAGTTTCTATGACTTCCCAGTAGTCAGTTGTAACGTCAGGATATTGGGGGTCCTCAGTTACTCAAGATATTTATCAGTCTAATAAAAGATAGAATATGTGTCAAGGTCTTATGGCCGGCTGACCTTTTATTGTTACCTGTTAGAATAAATTTATGTAATTAATCAAAACGTGCTGTACCTTAACTGGGACGAATGTTGATGTACAATACCAGGTGTATGAAAGCGAGGTGCCTAGCGTGAGTGTTGGTGCCAAAGTGTGTAGTCGGGAATGTTGGCAGGTGGACTAAGTGAAAGCCAGGGATGCCGCAGCTAGTAGCAGGGAACACGGATGCAACTTATGAGCAACTCTGTCATCCCCACTAGTCTGTCTATATATGCTTCGGCCAGCTTGCGACTATTATACGAGTATACGTATACGATACTGCATGAGGCTCATGGTTCTATACTAATATTGTATTCTTGTACATATAAAAATTAATTCAATTACATTTTCTATTTACACAGTAAGAGTACACAAACGTTACTCCTATTTGGCGATGTTGAAGTGGATATTGCATGGTTTTACTGCCGTTGTATGTTTTTTTTTTTTTTTTTTTAAATTACCTGTACAGTATTGATGCCAACATAAAATTACCAAGACCGAACACACTTCTTTATGTTAATGTTTAATCACTGTTTTGAATTGTTTCAGTTATAAATAGTTTATATACAGTATGTAGAGAGTTTTTGTTCATTTCCTTTTATAGACAATGATGATATGTCATTCTTAATTACTGCCATGTAACCAGAGTCCTTGTATAAACTTGAAGACTTAACATTGGGATAAGTTTTTACGTTGTGAAAGCAATACAGGTAGAGAATAATTTTGAAAGGGTGAGCAGAAGATACAACAAACTTGCAGACATTGTTTGTGTTGCGACACGCCAGGCTTACGTCATAGCCTACTGGGCCTGTGTCCCAGACAGGTGTTTGTGTTGGGGAGAAATTGGCAGTGGTTCAAGCATTGTTAGCTTGCCCACATGATCAACATGTCTGATACTTTATTTTTAACATTGACACATAATTTTAACTAAAACTGGCAATAGTGCTTGTGGCTAGACCTAGCCTGTGTTGTGTTTCTGGTTGTATCCAGATCAAGTTTTCCCATCCTGCTAAGATCCAACAGAAAACCAGACAAAAGGCCGCTAAACTGGTTCTAAAAATGTCAAATTTCCCGCTGAATTTTATGTCTTGATTTTGTAATTATAATGTTTTGTGTAAAAATTATGTCTGTCGTGCATTATTATCATATGATAATGTGTGATATGTATTGTCTAGGTAAAAGCTTGTAATCTTTTGGGACAACCGTTCATGCTTTTAAATGCATTTATTATTAAAACATAAGTATGCTCTTCTCAGCTTTGAATTTGTCACAGCAATGCTCTCTCTCTCTCTCTCTCTCTCTCTCTCTCTCTCTCTCTCTCTCTCTCTCTCTCTCTCTCTCTCTCTCTCTCTCTCTCTCTCTCTCTCTCTCTCTCTCTCTCTCTCTCTCTCTCTCTCTCTCTCTCTCTCTCTCTCTCTCTCTCTCTCTCTCTCTCTCTCTCTCTCTCTCTCTCTCTCTCTCTCTCTCTCTCTCTCTCTCTCTCTCTCTCTCTCTCTCTCTCTCTCTCTCTCTCTCTCTCTCTCCTCTCTCTCTCTCTCTCTCTCTCTCTCTCTCTCTCTCTCTCTCTCTCTCTCTCTCTCTCTCTCTCTCTCTCTCTCTCTCTCTCTCTCTCTCTCTCTCTCTCTCTCTCTCTCTCTCTCTCTCTCTCTCTCTCTCTCTCTCTCTCTCTCTCTCTCTCTCTCTCTCTCTCTCTCTCTCTCTCTCTCTCTCTCTCTCTCTCTCTCTCTCTCTCTCTCTCTCTCTCTCTCTCTCTCTCTCTCTCTCTCTCTCTCTCTCTCTCTCTCTCTCTCCTCTCTCTCTCTCTCTCTCTCTCTCTCTCTCTCTCTCTCTCTCTCTCTCTCTCTCTCTCTCTCTCTCTCTCTCTCTCTCTCTCTCTCTCTCTCTCTCTCTCTCTCTCTCTCTCTCTCTCTCTCTCTCTCTCTCTCTCTCTCTCTCTCTCTCTCTCTCTCTCTCTCTCTCTCTCTCTCTCTCTCTCTCTCTCTCTCTCTCTCTCTCTCTCTCTCTCTCTCTCTCTCTCTCTCTCTCTCTCTCTCTCTCTCTCTCTCTCTCTCTCTCTCTCTCTCTCTCTCTCTCTCTCTCTCTCTCTCTCTCTCTCTCATATATATTAGTTCTATTACAGAAAAAAAACTGCTAAAGCCGCAAAATTCCAAATTTTCCCGCTAAACACGAATAAAAACATCCAAATTTAGCGCCAAATCTGGTAACACTGTTCTGGTGGAAGATGTTTTGGGGTGATTTTATTTTAGAGGTATAATTGATATTTATAATAAAAAAAATGTTAGAAAAATCTTGTTTATACCCTCCTAATTCGGACACATCCGATGTCGCAAGAATCGACATTAAAAAAAAAATCCAGAGAAGTTTTTGCTTTGAGCCTGTTTGAATGTCAGGAAATATGATAAATTTAGGCTGTATCGTGCATTTTTAATTTAAAACAGGCAAATACTTGACTAAATTTTACGATCTTGGGATTTTTTCTAACTTACATAAGATTAGGTAGGTTTTTGAGGTCAAATAGAAAATTAGTTTTAGCTGCGTGCTGAAAGAAATATTTTACCACATTTTCAGATAATGTACTACAGTATGTACAAGTAAAGATTATAGCCCAGTGTTATTCCGAATAACATGGTAGAATGAAGTGTAAATTATGACAAACTAAAAAAAAAAAAGGCTTCCTGTGCGGGACAGTTTAGTTACAGAACTACGCTCGTGTGTGCTCCCCTGTACATCATATTTAATAGAAGTGTTCATTATCTTTGTGTTTCTTTGTTAATATCCTTGTAGCTTTCTTGTCTGATTTAGGTAAGTATTGAATGGAAGGGTAGTATATGTATGTGTATTTTAGCGCACCTAAGGGTTTTGCGTGTTGCTGGACTCTGGAGGTGGCCTTTGTCAGGGTACCTGTGTCAAGATGGTGTATTGGAATGTTTACCAGTTATTATTAGAATTCACAAGTGTGGCCTCCGTGGGCTTTATGTGCCATCAAGCTTAAGCTGACTTTCACTGTGTGAATTGGAAGTTTGTTGTTCCCGGGGCCATATACCCTGTATGCGAGATAATTGTTTTTTCCTCGAAGTAATAAGAGATGTTTGTTTTTCCCAGTCTGTGGGTTAATTAATATAATGCTGTAAATACTTGTTTATTTGTGCTGTGAGTAATATATTTTGTTGTTGACAACTGTATTGTCAATTTCGTACAATTTTCACGCACAAATAATCTTGGAATTTTTTTCGCATTGCATCATGTTTGAGTTAATTCAAAGATGTCCACGTGTGATGAATATTGATAATGTTACCGTGTTGCAAATCGGTACTTTGCCTGCTAACTGATCATGTTCTTAGGTCATGAGTGTGATTTAGCCTCGTTGTATGGTGTAGGCATGTGGCTTCGTATGTGTTGTGAAAGGTCAATGTGTCAGCTGAGTGGGTCAATGTCAGGTGAAACTTTGGGTTCCTCCCTCCTTCACCCTGGCTCACCACCATCTCCAGCATCCTTCCACATTCTCCTCCCCTCCGCCTCCCTCTCTGCACCCGCTTCAATCTACCACAAATATCGTTATTACACCAAGTTAATTTGGTGATGATCATACTATTTTTACATGTGTGTATGCGTGTAATGCAGCGATATTGTTTATCCATACACGGGTATACTGTACTATACATAAAGTTGTATCTTATTGTTGTTATTTGATTAACAAAGAAAGTGGAGGGAAACAAGCCGCAGTCAGGATTTTGTTCACATTCGTCTCAATTATATATATTGATATTGAAACAGTTTATTTAGTCAGAAGAACACAGATACAGAGTCGATTAAAAATCATAATATTAACATGGCTGAGCCAGTTGAGAGCCTGGGCTCTCTTGTAGACACCTGATATATACTGTACAGTATATTTATCTCAAAGAAGTATTATGTAACATTTAGTATCCTCTGGAATAATACACATTGCATGGTGGTAATAAGTACGTATCAGAATGTTACGACTGTTATCACTTCGATATTTATTTATTTTATTTTTACATGTATATTGTAAGTACTGTATATGAATAATTTACAGTGGAATTGAAAACAAATATGATAAGGGGGGAAAGCTGTACAACATGGGTTGTATTAAGGTGGAACAGGGGGACAGCTGCCAGGATTATGTCTAGTTGGCAAATCTATTTATTGCAATGTTAATTTTTATTTATGTACCTGTACATGATAATTTCTGATAAACCGGTTTTGGTGGTACAATAAAAGCAGGTATATAAAATAGGTATTAAAAAAAATATTAGTACTTAGACAGTAGATATTTTTTAAGAGATGACTTAAGGAAGGGAGCGATGTGTCAATTACAGACACTCACTTAATTATAAGCTTATGTATATCACTTGATTGTAAACGTATCTATGCCATTTATAAACGATGGTGACATGATTATGGAAATTATACGCCTATGTGTATAGATAACGTATCAGCTGTTGATAAAGATGGAATGGTACAAATAGCTCGAACAGCTGAGGCACCAGAAAGTGAGAATGGATCATTAGGTGGATTCTCGTGTTTAAGAGAAACATCTCCAGTGTTTTATAGTGGCAGGATATTGAATCGCAGATAAAATGTTTCGCCCCAGTATTTCCGGCTGCTTGAAAGCTTTAGTTCTGGTCCAGAAAATCTTAGATTTATGTTTTATTTGATTAATTCACAGACGTTGAAGTTACAGTGACCTACATAATATACAAATTGTATAAACTTCAAATTGTGATTAATAACACGCCATGTTTTTATTTATTGAATTCGGGTACAAATGTAATTAGGAAATTACAAATAACAGCACGTCATTGTCACATAATATTGTACACAATTTCCCCCACCGTTTCATACCATGTTGACTGGGATGAGAACTTCTGCTTCTGATAGTGTGAATGAAATTAGATTGAAGATTTTACACGAGAGGCTACTGGTCGAGACTTGAGACGCAAGGAAAGTAGACACAGTCATTTATGAAAAATTCTGTGTACGAGATATTACAAAGAAAGTGGATGTAGACAGTAATGTATGAAGGAGATGCCTCTTTTTATGTTGGCTGTCATCTAATATATTTCAAGAGTGAGGAAAATGGAGGTAGTTTGTCATGTATGTACAGTAGGTGGCAGCGCGGCGGCGTCCTTGACTTGGCAGTCCTTGGTGGGGAGAACCCGTTATAGGTGTGTCAGGGAGGGAGGCGACTAGTGAATGAGTCCGTTTGGCACCATCGAGTTCATTTACTCAATCACTAAATGTTATACATCTGCCACTCACTTCCTCTTCTACACTTCCTTGTTCTCGCTGGCCTCCCCTCGCCCCATTACCAGCCTTTACATGGCCGTCGGAAGCTGCTGCTGCTACTTTCCCTTTACGCTGCGTGTTCCCTTTTGGGTTTTAAAAGAATCGTTCATAAATTTCCCATTATTTTATTTTAGTATACTTGGATTTAATAGATAATTTACTGATACAAGTATCAAGTTGCCTTTCCTGGTAAATTTAATTGTATTTTCAACTCGAATTAACTGCAAGGAAATTAATCAGGTTTTGTGTCCAGTATCTGTTTTATAATTACTTAGACAACTTACATTGATGCTAGTAGTTCTTGAATCTACAACGATTGTGGCCCAAAACCTAACAAGTTGGTTCACTGTTGATTGATGCTCATCGCCATGCACCGAGATACAGGAGGCATGGTCACCCCAGCTAATACCGTTTTCTGTTAGTGATTTCTCGGGCTTATCGCGCCTACTGTAGGTGTTTTGGTATTTTCCTCCATTGGAAATTAAGACATTTCTTATGCGTATTTAGAATAATTTATGGGATCAAATTGAGATTAGACACCCCAGCTTATTTCGCCTGATGATTAAACATTCTAAGACTAACTGGGGGAGGCTCGTTTAGGTTGTATTAGGGTCCGGTGTTGAATCATATGGTGAAATAAACTGGAGTGCCTACCCTTCATATGATCCCATATGTATCCTGTAACACGTCTGTCATGCGGTGTTGCAATTATGGCGTTATTTACATGTAGAGAGAATTCACAGGAAACAGTAAACCAGGTCGGTAAGAAGACGTGTCGAGTTTAGACTTTCCTGGCACACAGTAGGTGGTCACATGTTGTTCACTCTTGTACAGGCAGGGTGTGCTGGTGACGGGGAAATGTGTACACTCGCACCAAAAAGTATCGGTGCAGGGTGAGATCGACGACTTCCGAAACGATATGTATACGCTGTGATATGTTGGGAAGGTTGGTAAGTGTATCCTCATAACACCCCCCCCCCCTGCACTAGGTGTTGCCATATGGCTGACAATCAGGGCTGCCAACATACGGCTGGAACAACTCGCCTTTCCCAATACCTATCGTCACTGGTCTCAAATTGTTCACACTACAGTATGCACCGATACTTTTTGTTGCGAGTGTTACATGCCAGTGTTTTAATTAAATTGTGTGTGTACTGTAGCTACGTGTTTGAGGGTGTTTTATACCTCCTGCGGCTATACTTGGCATACCCTTAACTGTAATTTTTTTTACCCCTACACTGTAAACTTTTTATGCGCACTGAACACTGTAGATTACTTTATATACTTTACTCAATTACAGTTTTATATATCTATGCATTGTTGGTTATTTTTTATACATTGCATACTGTTTCATGTAGATCCACAATGGAAACGTGGATAAGATAAATCTTGATAAAATCACACACGAAAAAGGGAAACAATGGAGTACCTTAGCTTTCGTCTTTATTCAAAACATATTCAGAGGCAACTGAATTGCAAGGACTGAGAGAGGCTTATGTACACAGGGTGACCTTACAAAACATGACATCCACTAATCCACACGCCAACACCACCGCAAACAAAAGAGGAGCTTGAAAGAAAGGGAGACGTAACTAGTCATGTTAAGTCAGGTCAAAAATATGAGACCCACTAATCATCTATCATACATCTACCTCGAATGCTTTTAAAGCATTTTGGACCTTGGGCCACTGACAAATAAATTTGTGTCATATCAGTTTTTTACTGACCATAACTAAGGTTTATAAAATTCAATTCTCTAATCAAACTTGCTTCAACCAGAAGTCTTTCTGTGACACATGATGATTTATACACTTCTAAACTGTTTTCTCAATCTATGGGATGATTATTGTTCCTTATATGAACGAAAAGTGCACTGCTCTCAGATGCTGTTCTAATATTGTACTTGTGCTGTTTAATTCGGAGTTGCAATGCTTTCCCAGTCTGACATAAGCCCCTCCCAATCCTTGGAATTCAGTTGCCTTTGAAGATGTCTTGAATAAAGACGAAAGCTAAGGTGCTCCATTGTTTCCCTTTTTCCTGTGTGATTTTATCAAGATTATACAGTATACTGTACATTTGCCGCTTCTCCATACGATAGGTTGTTTCATGTAACCATACAAAATTATGAACACACACACCTTATTTGTATATACTTACATGTATAAATATACTTACACCAATTTCTGTGTACATTATACAAACTTATTTTACGTACCTGCAACAATATTTCAACATTATTCACCCACTTACCTAGTTACCTTGGCACTCTTTCCGGGCCCACTGTGTGTGTGTGTGTGTGTGTGTACACCTTACGACCTATGCCCAGAAACTGCTTTCACCCATGCAGAGTGGACTTGAGGGATAGTGTTGCGTTGATTGGTTAATACAGTACGGGCTATTATAAACACTGTGTGTGTGTGTTTGTGTGTCTGTCTGTCTGTCTGTCTCGGGTGCACACGTTTGAGTGGTGTGATAGAATGTGCGCGAGAAGTGCGAGATTTTAACTAGGTAATGCGAGAAGTAGGTCAGTGAGACAAGGCCCCTCAGCAGCCCCCATTGGTTGCTTATACTCACCTCAGTAAACATTTGTCTGTCGCACCACGCACACTGACACCTGTCGCATCACACACACACTGGCACCTGTTGCACCACCCACTGGCACATTTTGCACCACACACTGACAACCTGTCTCACTACATACTTAATACCTGTCACACCATCGACTGACAGCTGTCGCACCACACTAATGCCTGTTGCACCACACTGATACCTGCTGCATCACACTGACAGCTCGCTCCATTAATACACACCCTGCCAGACGCGATAACCGGTTGGGGTAACCTGAAAGAGAGTGTGTGTGTGTTCACGATCACGCTGTCTACCCTCCATTAATAAGCATGCACTTCCAGACTCTCCTGTCCTTACCAAGACAGCACGCCCACACACACCCCTTTAATATACTCGACAGCCACGCCCTGTTAACTTCGTCGACAGCCACACCCACGCCCTGACACCTTTATCAAGAGCCACACCTACGCATTCCTGGCCTTAGCAAGAGCTGCAACCCTTTACTTTTACCAGGAACTATACCCATCCAAGGAGCCACACCCGCGCCTCCCGTACCCGCACCTGTGGATTGTCCACGTGTCAGGAGCCACGACCACGCCTCTAATACCCACACACCAATAGCAACGCCCACACCGTCGTATACATCTCATGACCCATACCTAAATGACGGTTGTACCACATGGGTGTGAATCTGTTTAAGTTGTCAACAAGGCTAACAGCCACATCCTGAGATAACAGCCCACTGTCAAGGAATCGCCCAAGAAGACTGGACAACTCACAACTGTACTGACTAAACTAAACGATCCACACACGCAAACACTTAACATCCTGGTTCTCAATTATTGCCGGGTAGATAACAGGTAATTAGTGTATTAAAGAAACTTGCGTTGTGTTTCACCCTATCCGGAGATCGAATCAGGACCGTCACTTGCTACACATTCACCCTTATAATATCCGAGCAGGATAGGACTCGAAGCAACGGATTTAAGTTGGATAAGTTTAGGTTTAGGAGGGAGATAGGGAGGAACTGGTTCACAAAAAGGGTGGTAGACTAGTGGAACAAGCTTAGCAACTTTGTAGTAAGTGCTGGAACGCTGGAAAGTTTTAAAAGGAGGCTAGATAGATTCGTGGATGATAGAGAGTGGTTGTAACTCTAGACTGGAGCTGCCATGCACAGGCCAACCGGCCTATTGCAGACTCCGTATGTTATGTTCTTATGAGCCACAGTCCACACCTACATCCTTTTTACCCCTGTGTACATCTTTCAGTCTCCACAACCCCCCTGGACCCCTAGGAGCTATGCGTTCCTCAACACTTTTACTCTTCCTCCCTCCACTTTCTAGTTCCTCCTCACTCTCACTTTTCTTGCCGTCCCAAATTCTAGTTTGATTGTGCTCTCGTGTGTGCGCGTGCATGCTGATGCGGCTAAGTTAGTCGCTGTTGATTGGGGTAGTCTTGTCCCCCCTCCCCTTTCCTCTCTCCCCCCTTATCTCTCTGCAGGTATACACACAACAGGCAGAGAGCGGTAAACAAGGATGGCTCAACAAAACCTGCATTATAAGATTATTTCCATTAGCAACATACCTTCAGCGGCTTACTCTGGTTTCTGAGATTGAATCGACGTGTTTTTTACCATTGTTAGTGTGTGGGAGGGGGTTGTCAAGGGGTGTGTTGGGAGATGTAGTTGTCAAGGTATGTGTTGGGGGGGGCAGATCTATTGTTGAGATTAATCCTTGGAAGTTTTATTAAGATTGGAAGGTATTTAACAGGGAGAAGCCGCCAAGACCGGTGTTTGGATGTAGTAATTAATTGACAACAAGTAAGGGTCCAGGGAAGTATGGGTGACCAGTTCTTCTCTCGGGGAGGGGGGCAAGCCTCAGTCGAAATACCCTAACGGAATTTTTATTTTATTTTTTAAATCCTCACTACGTTTCCTGGATGAGTAGAACATCAAGTTGGAGGTTAAAAGGCAACTTGCTTGGGGGAAAGGCGGCAGGCGGGGAAGGATTTTACGAAGGACCCCCTCCCCCAGCATGGGACAGAGAGAGGATCCTACTTGACTTCGTACCCACCCAAAACTTGTGACGTAACCCCACGTGCGCCGCTAACTATTTGCCGACTGTCAGTGGTGGTGTGTTTACTGTGGGTCTGCCTGAGTGTAAATAGAGTAGGGTGAACCGTATTTGCAGTACTTCTTAATATGTAAGTAATGGGTTCATCTTCAACGTCCACAGGGTTTCTCTCTGCCAGATTGATAATGTGGTGTGTGTGTATGTATGTACAGGGGGTATGTATGTGTGTGTTGTTTTGATATCAGAATTGCGCCTTGGCTGGGTATTATTGAGTATTATTATTATAATAAACGAAAGGTCATAAAAACCACACCGTGTTTACCTGTAATAGTGGCTGGGGGTATGAGTAATGAACCACAAGTTAGTTGTCCGGTGTCATGTAATCTATTATCATCAGGAGCCTCGCCAAGACGCGTTACAACACCGATTACTTATCATTCCGCAGTAGTATTGGTACCCTGGAACATTTAGCACAGGGTGCCTCGGGGAAAAAAATGTATTCACACTGCCCTAACAAGTTTTCGTGGAGATTGCGGGAATCCTTGGTGTGTGTGGTCTCCCTGCACAGGTGAGGACAATGTTGGTCTTACAATAGAATCACTCAAACGATTTCCACGAAAATATGTTAATACTGGGTGTGCACCTTTATGTAGACAACCTGTATTTAAAACGCCCTTCCCGGAAAGCATCATGACACGGTTCAGTCAAGTCAGGAGAAAATATAGGTTTTTTTTTTTTTTTTTTTTTACTCAATCTTGGTGGTGTAGGCTTAGTATCTCCAATTTATTTCACCTGATTAAACACCTTAATACTACCTGGGGGTGTTAGGGTAGATAATCTGGGTGCTAATCTTCAGGTGGGTTTTGGTTTAAATCACCTTTAAAACTGAAAACAAAATTGGGAACGTGAGTAATACGGTTATGCAATTGTTATTCTTCACATTGATAACCATATCTCGACTAAGCTAACAGCTGTATACGTATGTATGTGGACATTAATGATTACTTGCGTCTCCTCGATTAACTTCTTATATTTAAGCTTTTTATCGTTAAGTTTGGCTATGAGAATATTGGTAGGTTATCCAGAGTGGTGGCAGTCTTTTGTGTGTGTGTGGATAATCCCGGTGACGAATGGAGGAGAGGTTGGTGGAGGGAGGGATGTGCGTGTGTGTTGTGGCGTAGTGGCCCTGCCGGATGGCGTAGTGATGTATCCTTGAGTGTGCCCTCTGTTGTATATGTGTGAGTGCGTTCGTACGTGTTTCGCTGGCTGGCAGTGTTTGTATGACTAGTTTGGTATTCATGTACAGTTTGTTGTGTGCATTTGAATATATGATCGTTTGTGTTTAGTTTTGTCGTGGCCGCGCGTTTCAGTTTTCCTTGTATATGCGTGCGCTTGTGTATGTGCGTGCGTGCATGTGTGGTGCGCGTGATGCTCAGGTTGGGGGGACTTGAGAGCGTCTGATGCTGCTGCTGCTGCTGCCAGGGTCGCTATTATTCCTTCATTTCTTTATCATAATTATAATAAATTTTAATTGTTTTTATTTCTTATTTTTTATTTTTTTATTGTTAGTATTGTTGTCTTGTTATTAGCATTATTTACTCTTCATTAATTTTACTGTTATTTACACTTAATTGGTGTTGTTTTCTTTGTCTTAATATATTTAATAATTTTATGTGTTGATTATATTTATATATTTGTTTACAAATTTCTTATTGAATATATTTTTAACCCGTTGTTTAGGCAAGAACTCCCCGTGATGCTTTTATTAATTAACGACAGTAGATGTAGAAATAGTTGTAACAGTGTTTAAATAGCAAATAATAGTTGTAGTTTGAATAGTCATAGTAGTAGAATCAGTAATAGTATGTGTATAAAGTAGTAGCAGTAGGTGTTAAATATATATTTAGTGGTTAGTAATGTTAAGAACTCTCTATCTCATTTAAAATCAGTTCAGTTATTTCCACTGATAACGGTGAAGGAATTGTAGTAGAGGTGTGTATGTGTGTGTACAGTAAAGGTAGTTTGGTGGCGTGAGTGTGGTAATTGAGGTAAAATGTATTGAGGGTGGAAAGTTTTTGCTTCTGTCTAGGAGTTGGGTATTGGTAAAGTACAGTAGATAACAGTGATGGGTGGGTAAGTGGATTAGTTGGTGGGTGGGTTATAGGTGGTGCATATGTAAGCTGCATGGCCCGTGTTGTGTCCTGGTGGGGAGTTGGCGGTAGGTTGGGGGGTAGTAGGGTGTGTGGTGACCTGGGGAAAAAGATCAATACTGGATCCAGGGGACACACACACACACACACACACACACACTCTATTACCACACTACTGCCACCCATCATAACACACACACTAACACACACGCACGCTAAAGTTTTGGGCGGTGTTAGCCAAGACATCGCAAAGGGAGAAAGTGAATTGGCAAACAAAACGTAAAAGAATTTGTATTGATATTCAGCGCAGTGTACAGTATATGTGTGTAATAGGTAAAGTTGTCGCTCTCCGCTATTGGACGCCCCGAGCCGATGGGGAGTAAGGGGGGGGGGATGGCGGGGGTCAATACTTATCTGTTTAAACCCCCTACAACGCCTCTCGCTACGCGCTTTTTCATTCCTCTTAACGATGTATATTCCAGCACATAGGCAATAAGTTGAAAATTTTGCGTTAACTGTGATGTTGTGTATCTCGTCCCATAACCTGAAACAATATGTAGTTAGGTAAAAAAAAATATTGTTTGGTTATAGTAGCGTAATGAGGGTAACTGTCGGTGTTAATATTTGTTTGTTGTTGGCGAAGCAGTGTGTGTGTGTGTGTGTGTGTTAGAGCTGGGGTGGTGAGTTTACTGGGGAGAGGATCAATACTAGGTTGACGCTTCCCGGCCTCGTCACTCTTCAACAGCTGACCTACTTCCTCTCCCCGCCGGCCCTGCCACGCGCCGCCCTCCACCACCACCGCCACCATTCTCCACATAGTTTCTCATCATACTTTATATTCATTATCCATTCTGTGTCATCTCTCTTGTGAAGTTCGGTCT